ATTCAGACACAATCTGTCTTACCTGTAATTAAAAGAGTCCATTCAACAGTATATGGGTTCTGTAGAAAATGATTTTGCCAGTGGACTATTTGAGGTACAGATGGTGTGTGAATTCTGACTTAACTTAGGTAAAATTGATTACACAATAGACAGACTGTCGAGGTGGCAACGTCTTAGTCGAGACGTTGCCATCATTTATAAAAAACATTTTCAAAATTTACAGATATTTCCAAAACAGTTTACCCCCCAGTTCCATGGCCGGATATTATGCCAAATTATTAGACGGAGGTCCATTTCCCGTAGATCATCTCCGGAGATGATTCTCCGGCTCCGTCTACTGTATTAGACGGAGATGAAGCTCTCCGGGAATTTCTCGGAGATTAATTCATACAGTATCAACAAAATTACCGTAGATGGTCTCCGGTCGTGGAACTGCAAACTCCGGAGAAATATCAGTAGACGATCTCCGTCTAATAATTTGGCATAAGGTTCATTGTTTATCATTCTGATCCAAATTTTAGAGTGCTTCTTGAAGAAAGATATCTTTAGCATTCAAGTTTACTGCGTTGGCCTTCGTGTAGTGGCAGAGGAAAGTTCTTTTCTAAGTTCCGTGAAGCTGGTAGAATTAGGATCCAGATTTGAGAGTAAACGATGAACACTATATTCATTAATCACGGTGTCGTAGCACGCTATCACAATTCGCATGGTTATTTGATAAATTTTCCTAACGAGATAAACAATTTGCTTTTATATTAAATACTTTTCAAATTTCACATCATACTATACCCCGGATTAGATGATCTATTGCAATATGTTGCAATGGAGTTTCTAAAATGTATATCATAACTTCCATTTTTTTCAGGTTTTATTGGTGTTGTAGACGATCACTGAATTCTGTAGCTCTGTGAGATTTGTGGCTTCATCGAATTACATCAGATCACGCAGACTTGATGAAAATATGAAGACGTGAACTAGATCTGCTAATGCTATTCTCTCTTTAGCAAATAGCACGAGGTTAATTAAATAAGCAAGGGTAGCTTAAAATATAACAATCTTTTGAAACATATGACGTCGTGTATTTTACTAAAGTTTGTTGGAGGATTGAAATTCACTTTCAAATCATCAAATGCTACTTTCGCAGCTCAGAATGGTTATAATTTTAATCTTAAAGTAATGCAATGTTATTTTTCAATCTGCTACTGACAGCATTTGTTATTTGATGTTTTGAATGGGGAAAGAGTTTGAGTAGTTCAACAATCATGCACATCAGTGTTTATGTCACTCAGTGTTTACTCTCTCGATTCTCCGTCTCCCTCAATGTTTGATGACCGACCCAGTGTTTCCCTCCGTATCCTTGCGTATTGACTGTCCGTCTCACTGTGCAGTGTTTAATATCTGTCTTTCAGTTTTCAATCTCTATCTCGTGTTAAATAGTTCTCTCTGTATTTAATGTCCGTCCAACTCCTAGTGTTCAATATCTATCTCATCGTTTATTTTCCGTCTCGCTGTTCAATCTCCGTATCTCAAGGTGCAAGGAGTGTATGATTGTAAACGTTTTGGATTTAGCTATAGATTTTGGAACTTTCCGATGGTAGGTAAATTCTCACCTACTTAACAGATTTTTCAGCGGAGTTTCATTGCAGTGTTTAAGGGTTCTCGGATAATGCTCTTATAAATTCATTATTTTACATCTGTGTTTCATTTTGTAAAAAAGATTTCAAGTATAAAGATGATGACAATGACATGTCCGTTCTATAATTCGAACCGAAATATTGATTATGCAAACTTAGTCCGAGGAGGTGTTCTAGCAAATGTCCACGCTGTCTTGTTGTTTACGTAAGCCGCTGTGCGTGACATTGTTAAGAAGTAAAAGACGCGCATTGCGCGCGCGATGTTTTGGTCATTAAAAAAAATGACCCTCCTCGGCCGAATGACCCTCCTCGGCCACGTGAGTATGGTTTTTATTTAATTTTAAAAATGACCCTCCTCGGCCATGGCCGAGGAGGGCCATTTCTTGTTTGGCCCTGCCCGGCCATGGCCGAGGAGGGCCATTTTTGTCATATTGTTTGGCCCTGCTCGGCCATGGCCGAGGAGGGCCATTTCTTGTTTGACCCCGCTCGGCCATGGCCGAGGAGGGCCATTTTTTTCATATTGTTTGGCCCTGCTCGGCCATGGCCGAGGAGGGCCATTTCTTGTTTGGCCCCGCTCGGCCATGGCCGAGGAGGGCCACTTTTTTCATATTGTTTGGCCCTGCTCGGCCATGGCCGAGGAGGGCCATTTCTTCGTCATATTGTTTGGCCCTGCTCGGCCATGGCCGAGCAGGGCCATTTTTAAAAAATGACCCTCCTCGGCCGAATGACCCTCCTCGGCCACGTGAGTATGGTTTTTATTTTATTTTTAAAAATGACCCTCCTCGGCCACCATACAATACAATGAAATCGCTGCATTTTGTATTTATAAGTCATTATGCATAATTAAATTACATATATTCATATGCGAAGCTTGGCTAGGCTTTGGGCTGACATAATGAAGCAATTTAATTATTGGACGAGTGACGAGAGCAACTTTTGGCGTTACCTGGGGACCTCATATCAGGCTATCATGTTCATAAACAGAGATTATGTGGAATGACAGGCTGAGCGCGGCCCAGTAACATTTGGCGACGTTTGACTACAAGTATTAATGGCAGCGTTTGATCGAACATCCGGTTTCAGCCCCCTCCCCTCCCCTAGACCCCTAGCCTGTGGTCAGGTACTAACCATGTCATGTCAAAGCGAAAACGTTGCATTTGGCACTGCGTAGCAATTGTATTGCAGTATCTTCGAGATTTTTCTAAAAGAGCACTCAAAACTTGTCCGTCATACATTGTATGTTGTATGACCCGCCGCCCACGAGTGCGCGGCTCCCCCTTTATCATAGAAACACTAAAGTGGGGGTCACAACGTGATACAACTCAAAACTATAATTCAAATTAACTTAAACCACAGGGGGGCTGAAACCAGGTTTTCGATCAAATACTGCCATTTGTAGCCAAACGTCGCCAACAGTTGCTCTCGTCCAATGAAATCGCTGCATTTTGCAAGTCAGTATGCATAATTGATAATTGAATTACATATATTCATATGCGGAGCTTGGTTTACATAATAAAATGCAGCGATTTCATTGGACGAGAGCAACTTTTGGCGACGTTCGGCTACACATGGCAGCGTTTGATCGAAAACCTGGTTTCAGCTCCCCCTGTGAAACCGATGTATTTTTGGACTCTAAGGCTAAAATGCGAGATATTGGCGCGCAAAAAACTATATTTCGAATTTTGATCACGCGCACAATATAACCGTATAAGAAAGTTTACTGGGCGGTGCTCAGCTTGTCATTCCTCCGAATTTAATTTTTATTCTATATGATTATGATTAACATAACTATAATAGCCTGCGATCGGGGGTCCCCAGGTAAGACTAAGGGTTAAAGTTGTGGGTAAGGGTTATGGCCGGATAGCTTCGGGGTTAGGATTAGGGTTTATTTAAATTGTAAAACTGTTTTGTACGGCTGCAAAACCATAAACAATAAAAACCAAAGTCTTAACGGATGATACTCGTAAAATATTTGTTTCGAATTATATTAAGACCGTCGACGAGTCTAACTCGGCGCGCATCGGCCTGGTAGGTTATAAACCTACAACCAAAGTCACGTGAAATTGTTGGGCTAGCGAATTAATAAGATCAGCCCCCTATTTGCCGGACGTCCTAAGTAGATGGCCCTTAGCCTAAACGAGATCATTAATCATCACATGTCACAATGACAATCAACAATATAAATTTTAATTATAAGCCCATTTTGCTTCTAACTATCTAATTGCGATCGATCTTGTTCATTGTTACTATTTTTACATGATGCTGGATTGAAAGTCGAGCCTTTTTCAGCGTATACGGATTTAGGATATATAACAAAATAAACACGCTCAAGTTGTATGTTGTATAATTGAAAGTAGAAATTGTTAGAGCACTTTGCACAATACTGTTATACTTATAAAGCATAATGATATCATTCTGAAATAAATAGTATGAGTGATGATAAATCTGCATTCTAAAACTAAAATGTTACGTTCAACTTGAAATAATAATAATAATAACATGCATTATATGCAAGAAAATAGTTAAGATTAAAAAACGATTAACTTATTCATAAAATGTAACACAATTATTTCGAAACCGTCTTCAAATTTAACTAAATTTAAACATGAATTGTGAGCAAATATATCAATTATTATTTTATTTGCCTCACGCTGTAGGCCCGCCGCGCGGCTGTATTGCGGCTTTCGCCCTTAACGGGTGATACTCTGTTCCATATATTGGACCGTCGACGAGTCCAACTCGGCGCACGTCCTGGTAGGTTGTAAACCTACAACTTTCGCCCCCACTATAACTAAGTGAAATGACAATGGGGGTCACGTGATACAAAATATTTCTTTGTTAATCAAATGAGCGGGATATAAATGAAATATCTCTTTTCATTCAAGAGCAATCCTTGCAACGATAGTGGAGCAGACATTTTTAATCGCATTCAAATAACGAAAAACACAATCAACAATTATAACCAATCAGTTAATTCTCTCTGATAGGTTCCCCCTCCGGCTCACAATCCTCCTCCTTTAAGCAATTTAAACACTCTGCAGTCAGCTCTTTAGCACGAACTGTGTCGTTAGGATCGAACATGGTGGCAATGTCAAGGTTAAGGAGCTCCGACTGTAGTCGACTCTCTTTGATCTGATCATCCAACTCCAACATAAGTTGTTGTAGTTCGTCCAGTTTCTGGAGTTCTTCACAATAATTAAGTGGTTCCTGGGTGTCATTAGTTCGAGAAGTTGAGGACATACCGACTGGAAAATAGAGGTTATTAAGCGTGGGCTAGACTAAAAACAGTAGTACTAGTAGAAATAACAAAATTCAGTACTATTAGAATAAAATGGAACAGTTCGTGGTCATGAAAGTAAAACACGCCTTCACCGTAAAAATAAGACTTATGGAGATTTTAACCAATCTAGTTTACAAACACGCAAATATTACTATTCTCAAAAAAATTTTTACAATATTTAAATCGAAACTTTAACTAATGACTAATCCATCAATTGAGAATGAGTTAACAGAGTAATCGAAAGACGTTACTAATTAGGGCGAAATATCCATTAATTTCCCTATTATACTACTAATATTACTAATAGCATCAAATCCAATGGATCGATGTCCGCGCGAAAACGTTGCACTTGGCACTGCGACAAAAATCAGTTCGATCATGATTAGGACCTCAACTTTCGAATTCTTCGTAAGTCATTCGCTTGACTTTCACTGATGTCTGTCTGACAATGTTCATAGTGCATTCTCTGCTAAGCTTGCAGTGCACTGCGGCAGTGAGAGCTTTATATGTTTGTTGGGCGGATAGGTCAGGCCCATTTAGACGAAGCAGGCACACTATGTTCTAGGTTCCTCCACTGTTTCTTCCTGTCGGGCAAATTACATCAGTTCCTGAATTATGAATTCATAATATTGCCGATCTGTAAATAAGCTTTTCCTACGCAGCAATAAATCTATAATTTTAGCAACATTGTGCCAGCCGTCTGTACAATGTACATTGCTGACTTTTTATTGTGAGGCTCATGGTAGACAGTGGCGTGCACGAGCGAAGGTCTTCAGTCAGAAATTGAACAAATCCTCATGCGAAATGATGTGCGGTATATTAACGGTTCAATCCTCTGAGAGATTTTATGTACTATTCTTGATTACATATTCTTTGTTTTAGTAACATTAAAAGTTATTGTGATAAGTATAAACCAACCTTAGTCTTTTCAAACCGACGAGCTATCAAAGTTAGAATATTTTGTCTTTCTGACGTGGACAAATTTTCCACTATTCTGTCGGACAATAAAGCATTCATGTACTGGAAAATGCTTCCAACAGAACTATCCTGAAGCAAATGTATTCGTTAGAACAGCAAAGAAACGAAAAAGTTTGAACATTCCACTGGAAATTGTTTTTCGTTTAAAAATTAACAAATCGAACCTCACTTTTTATCATTTCAGAATCATCCACCGTCTCAAGATGTTCCCCCGACTCCAGATGTTCCTGTCCTAGTTTAGTGACCTTACCTTCTGTCATTTTAATATCGTCCAAATCAACTGACTCTAGACTTTCTTCATCGGTAACGTCACAAACTTCCATTTTAATTGCGTCCAAATGAACAGAGGATGAGCTTTTGTGTTCAGTAGAATCGAGTGTACAGACCAAAACCTAAAGTTTGGGAATTAAAATGTGCTCTATTTCAGAAAATTCATTACAGTGAATCAAGCATGTTGTCAATAATAACTGACAAAAATGTAAGATCTTGTTTACCAACTCACCGTCTCTGATATACTAGGTGTCGGACAGTCGTCAGGAAGGTCGGACACTTGACTTCCAGTTCCCTCAGAGAGCATCTCAAGGGGAGAAAGGCGTTTTCCGATGTTGGTATAAACGACAATTTCAGGATCTGACTTTACTGAAAGATTGTAAATTTACTATAAAACTGGTGAAAATGATGTTCCGATAAATGGTAGCAGTATTAATATGTTCAGAGGATAATTTGGTGGCAGTTTACAATGATGAGAATTCAACAAAGCGGGGAAAGAATGGTACTGCGAATTTTAGAGAAAAAGTCTGTCAAGCAAGAATCACTTTACCTTTTGGCGATCCTTCATCAGCAAAGAGCGAACCTTTCTTCCTACCACAACGACGGTCGATGCAAATACTTATAATTGCCAGTATAAACCCAAACACAGCCCCTCCTCCAAAAGACAAGGCTATGATTGTACCTGTATCCATTTTCACTACGGTGAAAAAGAGTGTTTAAATACAAAATACAAATGGGCAAAAAAAGAATCTGAAATGAGATTTCGGCGAAAGACTAAGATATTTCCCGCTGAGTTATCATGATGTATTCTTATTAAAATTATATATTATCATATTATAAATACTATATATTCCTGACTAAAATTGCAAGTTTTCTCCATTTCAAAATCAGAATATCATTCAAATATAACTGTACAACTACAATCAAACTAAATTACAACATCTGTAACCAACAATATTCAATAATCAACTATAATGTAATGTAAGCAAGATTTGTAATAAAAAACTTTGAATTATTAACGTATTACCTAAGTCCTAACATCGAATCTTAGAAAAAAAAAAGAGAAATGTTTCTGTCATTAGAATAACAGTTGGTTTCTTATTTTAATTTTACTTTTCAAATTTACTTTCAGCAGCCTTTAGTAGCTCGTTTGCCTGTTGCAATATTAGTTTTGTGTTGCTGTCAAATTTGATTCCTGGTGAAAGAAAGGCGTTAATATATTAACCACATAATTGGGGTGTCTTACGAAACATTGTAGTCGTGGAATCAATTCAAAGTTAAGAAACTGTCCAATCAAAAAGAGTTCCTGTTAACTAATGATTTACAGTATCTTTCGTTTAGTTTTGAATGAGGTGATTCGTCAAAATTCGAAGTGATATCATAGAATTGTTAATTACGTACTGATGCGATGGCTGCATATAATACCTGAATTTCCATCCCCAGTTTGAGCCCTTTTCTTAGATAGATCATAGTAATACTGTTTAGGATCTGTAACTTTGTTCTGTATCTCCTCAACAATGGAGTCAGGCGCGAGAGTTCGTTGGTTTTCAACATATCTTACGAGATCATCAGGCGTATCCTCGGTCTAAAATATTATCGAAGTTAATTTTCACTTTCTGACAACGTTCACAATGTATTCAATTAAATGTAGAATAGGAGTTTTCGATGTCGCACTGTTTGAGATTAAATTAAGGTATTATATAATCAAGAGGCTTGCATATGAAAATATCTAGGTACGTATCATATATTAGGTATCATGCATTATGCGTGTAATTCAAAATACACCGCGCGCGGCATACTGTGAAGTTTATGTTAAGGTAAATATGAAATTTTGTACTTTTATTTAATTTTGGATGAGTTTGACGGAGCGCAAGAGCAGATTCCTAGTTAGACAAATTATAATATTATATGTCTAATTATCAGATTTGCCCGCTTTCATAGCTAAAAAGCGATCACTATCAGGATCAGGACTAAAACGCTATAGAAATTATCTAATATCCAAATATAATCATGAACGTTACCTAAATCCCGAGGACTATTACCAAATTACATATTACCTAATTCAGCAACGAAAATATATTCGTTATTTAGCTAAATTAATAATGTTTTATGGACCGGTTCTTGGATATAGAACAAAATTGGTTCATTAATAGCTAAATTAGGAAGACATCCAATGACAGACCAATATAACATTTGGCATATTCGATGTGTTTTTAAAAATCGTACAGAATAAATCACACATAAAACTTACAAAAAGAGCAGTTTTTGAGCTGAGTTCGTAAGAAATCTTCAATTTTTCCGCCCAAATGTCCCAATAATCGGGAAAGAGAATCATAATCTCGTTTAAACTCTCGTGAGACAACACCTCAAACTCGCAGTAAGTCAGTGCTTGTACGTTGGCTTTGGATTTTCTTCCCGTTCTTGTAGGCCAGAAACTCTCCCCAAATACATCGCCAGAAGCTGAGGTAAATTAAAACTCTTTTTATGAGATAACTAGAATTTCTAATGCGAACTTTTAACATGTTGTTTATTTGTCTAGCAAAGTAGCATGATTCTGTCGTGCCACACATACAATATATGTACTAGGCAATACGAAAAGAAAATACAATTTCAGGTAGGCTATTTTGTGTTTTAGTTGACGCTGGGAAGTCTCAAATATTGAACCGGTAAAAACACTAACTTAAAACCCCGATGAGCTTGTCATTCTTGATGACCTTAATGTGACCGCGGATAACAAAGTAAATCTCCCCCACACAATCTCCAGAATGGTAGATCATGTCACCAGGGCAGAGTGTGAAGCGCTGCAAGCGCTCACTCAGCGCTCTCTGGCACCCAATACTGGCCTCTTTTAGCACTGGCCACTGTTTTAGGAGCAAATCGTGGATGTACAGGAAACAATCCTCACGCAACCCTTTCGGCCACGATTCCATAATCTGAAAGATTAAAGTGGGTAAATGCAAAATTCTAACCGCAATGTTTCGTGACGATCTACAAAAATTGATATTTCAACGACCTTGGTAAGTTGGTATGATGCAAACAGAGCAGAAAAATGAACTCACCTCACTTGCGACAACACCTTTTGTTGTATACCAATGATTGTAGAAGAAATCTTCCATCCTGCTGGCAAGTGACTCCGGAAACTTGTGCACATGGATAAAATCAATCAGTTCCGTTTGTCGCTCGTTCAATTCAGATGTTTGCTGACTGATACGATGGATGATACTTGCAACGTAACCGAATATGGTGGCGTACATCAGAGCTGAGAGTAAGGTTTTTATGAGTTTCTACTTTTAAGATATTATTGTGTAATCTATTGTGTAAGTCATACATGTAAAATAGTATAAATACCGGAGGACTATATTATGAGAAACTTACCACCGACCACCATGAGGCAGATACTGTAGACCCTCTCAAAATGTAGCTGTGGGGCGGCGTTGCCAAACCCTACGGTACTGAGAGAGGTGAAGGAGAAGTAAAGGCATGTCAGGTACACTTTAGGGATGGACAATCCTGAATCATAGTTATCTGAAATGCAGTATTCTGGTAACTTGTCGACTAACGCGTTGAGACACCTTATTGTAAGATACTGAGAGTGACTCATTATCTTATGAAACGTTCCAAAATGAAACTTAATGAAAACAATTTAAAGGTTGGTAAGTGGTTACTTGTACTTACATTTGCCGACAGCGTATCTATCAAATGGCAGCGTTTTATCATAGCTCCCGACGTTAGCTGGATCCTGTGAATTCTCAACAAACTTGTATAACCATCCGTCTTTGTGGATCAGGTTGTTTTTACCTGGTTATAATACCAGGTAATAATAATATTATATAGTATATAATAAATACAATCACAAAGCTAATAAAAGTTTCACTGACAATATTGACTGGTCTAAAAACTATTTTGATACAATATACATATTATACAAATTTAACTATTAATTAATTGCTAAGATTATGTTTGCGTTTCATTGCTCAACAGCTGTTCGAAGGATCAAATTTAAGATTAATTAAAGGACGGTTGAAAAATAAGACAAACAAAATATAAATATGTTTTACCAATAGCAAACCATCCGCATGCAATAAAATGAGCGAAGACGACGAAAATAGCCATCATGAAAATAAGAGATGAGAAACCAGAGGACATGTAATAGCTACTGTTGCGAACTATTCTGAATACTCTCAATAACGCTATCGCTTTCAGGAAATACAGAAAGGAGTCCTGGAACATTATTGTGATAGCTACATCTGCTAAAATTGAATAGCGTTCAGAGTAAATTTGAACGGACAATTTCTTTTAGAAATACATTTAAAATACACATTTAAAATACGATCAAATATCATCTTTCAAATAATGATAATAATTTGGAAACTAACATCTTGTAGACCTCCAATCCGGATGAATAGCTCCCACGGTATCGCAGCCATGAAGTCGATCAGGAACCAGGATTTTAAGTATGTTTGAAAGATGTGTTTGATGTCAGATATGACGACTCCGTCATCGTTAATGAAGGTTGTGATGCAGGAGAAAAGCACGTCAAATATGAAAAGAAGCTCACACACCAACGAGAGCTGAGAATGGGTTATTAGTATTATTGATTGGGCGACATCTGTCCGACAGCGACATCTGTCCGAAAGCTGAATTAGGGATTTCGGACAGATGTCGCTGTCGGACAGGAGTCGTTTTTGGCGACATCTGTCCGAATTTCAGATCATATTGTAATTTCGGTTCACATTCGCATTTCACAAGCTCACAGGTAATCTCGTGACGTTCTAAAGCTGATGTGATCCCTTAAGATCTGATCCATCGATACGTGATTGACTAGTTGAGAACAGGATCGTGCTAGCCGTACCCTAACAAGCTGTCGATCACATCAAAGGACATGAGTACATATAGGACAGCAGTATGAAGATCACTGGAAAAACGACGACCCTCTACCGCAACCTGTTCGAGGAGATAGACACCTGGGCTTCTGGGGGCTACCAAACACAATCCATCCTCATGGACTACGAGCTTGCCATTCACAACGCAGTTGCTTTCGTGTGGCCCTCCACTACCAGACGAGGATGTATCTTCCACTACAAGAAAGCCCTCCTGAAGCATGTTAAGCAGACCAACATCTGGGAGGAGTACCTGACTCCAAACTCTCCTGTTCGGGATTTCTTCGCGATGACTGGAGCTATTGCCTACGTACCGGAGACTGACGTCCCTCGAATCTGGACACCTGAAGCCCCTCCTTCCTATAGACATGGCTGAGTTTGCTTCATACTACGAAAACACTTGGATCGGGACATCAACCACCAATCCTAACTTCGCAAGTTAGGATTGGTGGTTGATTGCCTTAAAGCAGAACAAGCCCTTACAGACGTGAAGAAAACCAAAAGAGACGGGCGGGAACTACCTGAGCCACGTGCACCCAAATGGATCCGTTATGATCGACAACTTCAGAGAATTGTAGATGATTACGACAACTACAGCAACCCTATGGATTTCCTTAAAGCTATCGGAAATTTGACTATGCTTTAGATTTGATTCTGTGATATTGTATTATATTGAATTGATTTATAACATTTAAATAACATTGAAACTATTGTCCAATTTATCGACATCAAATTAAAATAAACTGTGGTAGTAAACTATGGCTCAGATCATATCTCAAATTGGACATGTTACGTATACAATTTAGCAAGTAACAGTTTAGATCATGTCTCTAATTGGAAATGTGTCGTATTGAAATCAGGTCACAATTTCGGACAGATGTCGTTTTTTTCTGGTACCCTGATTCGGACAGATGTCGCTTTCGGACAGATGTCGCTGTCGGACAGGAGTCGTGTTACCAGTATTATTATAGGGAGGTGTAAAGTTTTAGTAATAAGAAATGTACAAAATTGTACTGAACATATAGTTTATTTCTGATTTTAACTTAAATAAATTATTTGTATAATAATGCTTATGTCTTTAAGATTACTTACAATCCATTCTTGCTCAAACAGGGAGCCCTTAGCCGACCCTTTGTTCATGTCACTGCAGTCAGCCATGGTAGTGTTCATCGGTGAGGTACATGGAATACGGAAGGAAAGCTCGAATGGTATGTTAAATATGGCCCAGATAACAGAATACAAGACCAGCCAATCCCAAAACAATTTAGGTGCATTGTCGTGGATAATCAAAAAAAATTGTTTGTTATCTTTCTCAAATTCTTCTCGAATCGTAGTCGCCATTTGAATCGCTTTGGGCACAAAGTTATCGTTCATTATCATCTCTTTTCCTTCGTCAATTCCACAGTTGAACAAGCCAGACAAAATTTCTGTAACGTTTTTTTTCTTGGTGGTTACATCGACTCCAAAATGTTCGGCACTGTCCATCTCGTCGGTGGTTACAAGAACATAACGAGCTTTTGAGTGCTTTGGTAGTGTCAGTACACTCACCATTGAGGATACTGTCTTCTCTGGTGAAAAGATAAAATATTATATTTTAGGATTGATATGAATGGCACTGTTATTTAAAGCACACAGCAGTTAGTGGCCAGACACTCAAGCATAATATCCCAAAGTTAAGCATCAAACAGGAGCATTTTCTGAAGAGTTATATAATATGTACCTAGCTTTAGGGATGATAGTAAAGCTATTGTACAACAGTCATATTATAGGATCCCCAATAAACCTGCAAACCTTTACCAACTCACTATGTCCTTCTTTATAGAGGGTGTACTCTTTGTAATGATGCCCAACCTCCTCTTTCATTGTTTTCTCTAAATTCGAAACAAAATCTGCCCTGGTGGATTCACCAACTAACATCGGCAACCGTCCATCTTTCAGGAATATCTGAAATTTTGGATGGAAATTGTGATCTGACTGTGGTCTAAAGTCTTATGCCCATGTCCGGGGTAGAAAAGAAAAATGCTACTCGATGATAATTATAACTAAATTTATTTTCAGGTACAGTCGGTTGTTCCTACACCCCTGGGTTGGTATCTATCTAAATATATTGCAAACCTGTTTTCTCGAGTATTTCCAGTAACTAAGAAACTCGTCAGACACATACACAATGGGAAAATCCTCATGCTCTGTGTTCACCAAAACAAACTTTGATGCTGTGATATGAGGTGAGTGACTAAGTAGTAAGTGTATTGCAATTGGTGTAATGGTGGTACATAATTTGCAACAGAACTAAAGACACGTGACTAGAAATTAAATAACCTATAAAAAAAATAAGGAAGTACTGAAGATAAAGTGATTAAGAATTGATAGAAACCAATGTCGTGAATCTTCGTCAGCAGACTCTCCAGAAAGAGACTCTCCTTATCCTCCATCTGTTGAATTAACTCCTTCCTCCTATCAACTATAACGTCCCCCTGTAAAGAGTATTATTTGTCTGAGTTGTTGGATAGAATTTGTCTTTTTACTGATCTAGATATTTTATTTTGATATGATTTACTCTGATACATGTTATGTCAGATCTGTTATCTAGTGGGGCCTAATATGTCTTATGTAAGATTTTTGCGTCATATTGGATTATTGGTGTTTTATTGCGGTTACTTTCAACTAATAGCGAAAGTTGGAACGTGGACAATAATTATAATGAATCTCATCAGCAGCAAAGTAATAGTGATTATGAATTTTGACCAGCATTAAAGAAAAAGCATTTCAAGGTATTGTAGTCAAGAAATCTTTGGAACTGGATAGTCCCCCCCCGGCCCCCCATAGTTATTACATAGTTACATAATTAAACAACAGAGTAGTGTAGAAATCTCTCCCCCCCCCCCCCCCCTAGTTATTACATAGTATAATTAATCAACAGAGTGGTGTAGAAATCTCTCCCCCCCCCCTAGTTATTACATAGTATAATTAATCAACTGAGTAGTGTAGAAATCTCTCCCCCCCCCCCCTAGTTATTACATAGTATAATTAAACAACAGAGTGGTGTAGAAATCTCTCCCCCCCCCCTAGTTATTACATACCTTAATTCCCAAAAATTTGGGCGACCAAAAATTTGAGCGGGCGGGCCTCTCGCCCAAATTTTTTGCAGACCAAATTTATTGCATAAATCTTTTCCGTCTGCTAAATTTTTTGCTAACCAAACTTTTGGCATTTGGCCTGTGGCCCTGAAATCTATAGAAAGATGGCTTTTTCTTCATATCCAAGTGAAATAATATTTGAAATTTTAGTTTTCTAATCTGTCATTCATGGCTTGACCAAGTAAAAAGGCTTATATTTTAAATGAATAGAAATAACTGGAATAGCTAACAGCTACTAATAAAACAAATGGCTAGAGGTACAGATAGCTAGAGATTTAAACAAGATCTGCAAATGAATTATCATCCACCGTAAAGTCTGATCTACAAGCATCAGTTATACTCGATTTCTCAAAGCCTTTCCTTATGTTATCTGGCCTCCCTTTTAAATATACAAAAAGTTCGTTGATCCAACGAGCGTGTACTTCACGGATCACTGTCAAGCGGGTATCAATTTTCACATTGTCTGATGAAACTCCTCCATTGAGCTGACACACTATGTTTTTTCGCGTACCAATCTTCGTACTTATTGCGCATGAATTTCTTAGCCAGTCCAGGGGCTAAAGAGAGACTAAATATCACTATTGTATATCTATCATTTTGTACTGTGCCATCATCACTGTATTTTTTAGTAGTTACTGGGCAGATCGTAAATTTCATAATGTGAAACAACTCAGACTACCATCTACATGCTTAAAATTGAAAGCAAAATGACTGGAATAATAATAATGAACTAAGGCAAATATCTAACTGAAATTTTAGTGGAAAATCGTTCATTTTTCGAAGAATTTGTGCCCAAATTTTCGGTCGCCCAAATGAGTTCAAATTTTCTGCCCAAATTTTTCGGGCTCAAATAAATTGTGCTCAATATAATGGCACACAAATTTTTGGGAACTAAGGTAGTATAATTAATCAACAGAGTAGTGTAGAAATCTCTCCCCCCTATACTAGTTATTACATAGTATAATTAAACAACAGAGTGGTGTAGAAATCTCTCCCCCCCCCCCCCCCCCTAGTTATTACATAGTATAATTAATCAACAGAGTAGTGTAGAAATCTCTCCCCCCCCCCCTAGTTATTACATAGTATAATTAAACAACAGATTAGTTTAGAAATCTCTCCCCCCCCCCCCCCCTAGTTATTACATAGTATAATTAAACAACAGAGTGGTGTAGAAATCTTCCCCCCCCCCCCTAGTTATTACATAGTATAATTAAACAACAGATTAGTTTAGAAATCTCCCCCCCCCTAGTTATTACATAGTATAATTAAACAACAGAGTGGTGTAAAAATCTCCCCCACCCCATAGTTATTACATAGTATAATTAAACAACAGAGTGGTGTAGAAATCTCCCCCCCCCCCCCTAGTTATTACATAGTATAATTAATCAACAGAGTAGTGTAGAAATCTCCCCCCCCCTCCTAGTTATTACATAGTATAATTAATCAACAGAGTGGTGTAGAAATCTCCCCCCCCCCCCCCTAGTTATTACATAGTATAATCAAACAACAGAGTGGTGTAGAAATCTCCCCCCCCCCCCTAGTTATTACATAGTATAATTAAACAACAGAGTGGTGTAGAAATCTCTCCCCCTAGTTATTACATAGTATAATTAAACAACAGAGTCGTGTAGAAATCTCCCCCCCCCCCCCCTAGTTATTACATAGTATAATTAATCAACAGAGTGGTGTAGAAATCTCCCCCCCCCCCTAGTTATTACATAGTATAATTAAACAACAGACTAGAGTGGTGTAGAAATCTCTCCCCCCCCCCCCCCCCCTAGCTATTACATGAAGCATTTGACACGGAGTTGTAGAGTGAGCTATGTGCCTCGCCGGGCTAAAGTAAGAAAGTAGTGGATGTCCTTGCTGTACGGCAGGTTAAACAAAGAACTGGAACTACTAGGTTCCGTACAGACTCAACTCTGCACACATGTCAATATGTTCATTATATGCAAGCCTCATGATTTATAGTATAATTAAACAACAGACTAGAGTGGTGTAGAAATCTCTCCCCCCCCCCCCCCTAGTTATTACATAGTATAATTAAACAATAGAGTAGTGTAGAAATCTTACCCTGACAGTCACAGCATCAGCATCATAAGCACTGTACCTCGTCATTCTGCGACTGTACGTATTAGGGATCAGCTTATTGAGGGAAGTCTGGCCCAGCTTCCGTAATATACTCTTCTTTTTGTGGCGCCCATGTCCTGGACCGTGCCCCATGCTGGCTAAGTTGGTGAGGTTATAAGACACTCTTTAGTTTTACCGAGAAATAAAAAGATAAAAAGCATAGCATGGTTTTAACTACTACAACTGAAACTCAAACATATTTGGTAATAGTTATTAAATACCAAGGTGATTTCTAAAATAACTTTAAGAGTCAAACAATTGTTCTTTGACCCTTTTCAACTTTATTGTTTCCTCTAAAGCTCAGAATCGTTCGCATTGGTTATTACCAGCCAAGGAGAAATTGAAGATTCTCAAAAGCTCAAAGCATAATTTCCCTGAAGGGCTATACCTAGTTACATTGCGTCGGGTGTTGGGAATAACTGAATAAGCCAACTAAACCATCCCACCTGTGAACATGGGAATTGTGGTAGTGAGCCGGGGGGGGGGTCATACACTTTAAAGTACCTGACCCCCCCCCCCCCCCCCCATAACAGATCTTATCTCTTCAACACAGGAAAGGCTGGTGTCCTTCTTTAGCATGTCCAGAAACGTAAGGTGGGGCCTCCCCGGTCTCCTGTATCCATGCTGAGGGTCCCAGAACAGAAGTTGGTTTGCCAGAAGGTCGTCATGCCTGGCTACATGTCCAGACAGTCTCATTCTTCTGGAGGCTATCATCGCTGATGGCTTGGGGATGTTGCCGTATAAATCACTGTTGTTGATGATTTGTGGCCAACGTATGTTCAATGCCATCCGGAGCATTCTAGTGTAGCATCCATTGATCCGCTTAGTCATGGATTGGCTCATCGTCCAAGCTTCAGAGCCGTACAGGAGTACGGGCTCAACCGTTGCTCGAAAGACACGGATCTTTAAGTCCCTGTGCATTCCAGACTTCCAGGTTTAACTGATGACAGGCCCCCCATGCCTTTGCTTTCCTAACATCAAAGTCCTTCTCCGCACTCATTATTCTGCTTCCAAGGTAGACAAAGTCATCTACTTGCTGGATGATGGATCACAATATTCTTTGCGATATTAGGATTACTATATAAAATAAAGGATGAGTTACAATCAATGTGTTAGTACATTTAATGAAGATGTTCATTAGCAAACATTTCACAACCAGAATACAACACCTGTCCCTCACACAACCGCTCCAATAAAACCTGCACTGATTAGATCAACTTTACTAAATTTAAATCTTTATCATTCCAAATTGCACTATACTACCCACCTATGCAGCTGGGGTTCGGTACGCTGTTTCAAGAGGTTGAATGCCAGCACTAATAACTTATAATACTCCTTACACATCCACCAGTGTGGTATCAGTTAAAAGTTTTCTTAAGCTGACCGAAATTTTGCAACTTAACAGCCGCAAAACTTGCGGCTTGATTTTTATTTATGTTGTTGGCTAAATAGTCCTGTTTTGGGAAGTTTGTGAGGCTTCGAGGGCCGTAACATGATGTTATTGTCACGCCATCGTGTTTCACTAATCACTATCAGTATCAAATGTGTCTATAATATTCATTCTCTACCACTTTGACGTTTGTAGCTTATTTTAAAGTTGAAGTTAAAATTTACAAAGCTATGTCAGAATAAAGCTTTGGACTTTGGGACAGAGGCATTGCACAAGCAAAACGTTAGTAAAACTGAAACAAATCCGTTTACTGATCAGTTTGTTCCAGTAGCAAAGTGGCAAATATTATGAAATAACTCTTTCATCTCAGGGCTTCAAGTTTGATCGACCACGGCTGACCATGCAGAAGCAGTTTTTGAAATTCCAAAAGTTTCTGGTTAACAAGAGATTCGTGTGGATACTATGTTTTTTTGGGATTTCGACATATCTTATAACACCGGTATTTATTCAAGCACACATAAACTTCTCTTTTTACGAAATTGAGAAATTATGGCCTGATGGCAACAAAAGAGATTCTGAAAACTCTACAATTGAGATAGCGTTTACGCAGAACATTGCCAATTCGAGCAATATGAAGCTGGGCTACAGAATTCAGTTCTCAAGATGGGGTAACTGTATAGGCTCTTCAAGTCCAAATACCTCTAATCTCGAAGTTACCTTCTGCGACCCAAACGAAAAGCAGACATTTATTAGGAGGGGCGGTAGCTTAGTGTTTGAAAATACCGGAAGTTGTGTTGAGATTGAGAATGCAGGGACATTTGACTCAACTTTCCAGCTCAAACTCGGCGACTGCACTGGTGAAATAGCTAAATTCACTCTCGCGAATGAGACTTATCTCCAATTGAATATGTTGGGTGTACAACAAGATACTCCAATGTGTCTCTCTCCTGTGATAACATCAGATACCACTGAAGCAGCCAAATATCAATTACAATTAGGAACCTTGGTTGGCGTTGCACCTTGTCATGAGAATGCCTCTCAGATAACTTTTATAGAGGAAAACGACTTCAGAAAAAGACGAAAGGCTCTGTTGTCACCTCAGCCACCAGACCTAGATCCAAGCTGTGATTTTCCAGCTTGTGCAATCAATACTAAAACACAACCAGTAAAACTCCTACCTCCAGAACATATAGACCGATGCTCCAAGATGTCGGACTGTGTAACACTTGTAACAAAAACAGCAAGAAGGCCAGAATTAGTGCTAAGAATGGTCCAATCACTACAGAGTGTTAAAGGATACGATCTGCCGACTATTGTGTACGACGACGGAGGAGAGCCCTATCCAGAGACTGAGGTCATGAAGGGACTATCAAATTTCACCAATCTGAGGTATATTGTCGGTGATACTGAAGACCTGGGAATAGCTTTGGGGAGAACTCTGGCTATTCAACATGTCAAGACAAAATATTTTCTGCTGCTTGACGACGATTCGGTTATCAATCTGGAAACAAATATTGAATTGTTAGCTGACATTTTAGACACGACGGATGCTTCATTAGTCGGAGGAAAGCCAACTGGTTATCGAAAATTTGCCGGATTCCTACAATTTAAGAAAGGGACGGAAAAGGATGCAGGGAAAAGGGAGCTGTATTTATACCGCAACAATCCCATTGCTGAAACGGTTGTCAATAATCCGTCGTGTGAGCAATGTGATGTGACAAGCAACATCTTTATGGCAAAAACAAAAGACATTTTGGAAGTTGGCGGCTGGAGCAAAGAGCTGAAGATTGCAGAACACAAAGATTTATTTTTGAGACTTAAAGCTGCCAAGAAGAAGGTGGTTTACTGTCCAGGTTTCCAAGTGTTTAATCGTAAAGAAACTGTAGAAGCCAAGAAGGAGTCAGGGTACCAATCGTTGCGAACAACCCGACGGTTTCGAATGAATAAAGTTTTTAATAATGTTTGGAATATACACTTATTCAAGGAGAGAAGTCTAGGATCGTTCCCTGATTATCAAAACAAAATGACAAACCATGTGGCTACGTGAGTCTACATTAATAACGCTCATAGTTATTAGTTTTGAGCCTAGTGGAAAATAACCCAATCTTGGGACAATAATCTACGTAGATCCAGAAGTCGGAACTGGAACTTATTTGTAGATTCCGGGGATATGCTATTTTCTTCAGCAATCAGCAGATCCAACCGATTTTTTACCTATAACCAATCATTGCATGGCTTATTTTTTTGAATAATTTTTGTGCAATATCACATATTTTTTGATAACAACATGACGTGTATTGATGGCTTGATAAGAGAAATTAAATACAGTCACAACAAGCTAGTTTTAGAGGCACTTGTTGCTTCAAGTGTCTAACAATATTAGTCTACTATCAGCTCTAAAGAATCTTAAAAATGTTAGGTCAAAACCAAAACAGAGGTAGTAGTATATCGAGTTTCTTACTTATTAATTCAATAAATAGTTTAAGTTGCACATGACTCATGCTGAGCGATAATGTTACACAAACAGATTTAACTTGCTTACGTTATAAATCGCCTAAAATTAAAAGTAGCAGCTTTTCACTCATTGGGTGCAACAAAGAATATAAGTAAACCAGCCATTTTATCTGCTAAAATCTTGCTGACGTTTTTGAGTCCCATTAGGTGCCCTTTTTCAGGAGGAAGAACTTTTGTTAAGACAATTTTTATGTCATCGACAATCACTTAATTGGATAATTATCAATTAGCTAATAAGCAAAATTTGAAAAAAAACTTAATTGGCCCAAAATGATCAGAATAGTTTAAAACACGGAGAAAAGTAGTTTAAAAAAGTAGTAAAAACTTTGAAAATTTGTCACTTTCGAAAATTCAAAATATATATTTTTTCGCCAAAAGTGATCAAATTGCATGAACCGCGGAGAAAAATGCTTTAGCGAATTTTTCGTTTCAAGAATACTTAAATCACCAATATTTGTAGTTGGAGTTCAGTAAATCTTGGCAGATTTTAGTAATCAGGAATTACTAAGTGGAAAGGTCTGAAACTGAAAAACGTTAACCATACGATATAATTAGAGTTTCATAACTAATTACAATACAGCCTTATCGAAACTGCACCAATGGCACAGTCAAGATCGAACTGATAGCCTGGCACTCTACTATCATTTTAACGATTTCGATGATGAATCAGTGGGGTTAAGTTAATCACATTTGTAATAAATAAAACCTCTCTGTACCGTCAATTGTGCTAATCTAAACCGGCCTACCTGGATTACCAGACCTCTTCTTTTCCTCAATACAACAATCAAACCGAGTTGTTCATATCGCATTTGGTGGGTGATGTAAGTACATATCGAGGCTCGAGCTGTATTCAATCACAATAGGACACAATACGTGCATATTATATGGCCCTTAATGTGGTATATGAAACGCTCTATACCGGGGTGTTTCTATACCGTACACTTCTCGTTTCTCCCGTGAGACTAAGGGGCTCGGTATAGAGAGGTTTTACTGTATCACGAAAACGTCTACTTGGCCTCATGGCTTATTTACAGCTCGAAGAAGGCAAGAAAAGATTTAACAATTTGTTGTTTTTTGTTGTTGTTAAAACTCAACTGGGCTCTCCTGTGTCACCAAACTAGACCAAGTAATTTTAGATTATTATATTTTTCTATATTTTTTCCCGATCCATGATTATTATTATCAAATCTAAAATAGCTAATAATTTAATTAATTATGAAAAGGCCCATTAACGTGGGCAATAACATACGCTTTATACATTATATAAAAAAATTGAAATCTATTTTTCCGATCCATGACTCACGCCATCACGGATCGGGAAATTGAACGGCCATCCACAAAAGAAAAGTGGCCGCAATTCTTGTTATAATAAGTATATTGACGCGGTGGATTGTTGAGGGGGTTTCAAGCACAGGTCACTCTCAAATCCAAAGATAAGCAGTGGTCTTCGGCACTTGAAACCTCCTCAAGCCTTCACTGATTTATATATCATTGATATTGTTTGATTGTGCCGTAAATATATCCAAAAGATCATGGGTGGTGGCATTGGTGAGGCCTGTCGTTTCTGCAACAGCTTCGATGACTCTCCTGTACACCAGCTCCTATTGTGTCTGGAGGTGCAAGACACCAGTTACCTGCAGCTAAAAGAAGAGCTGGGTGGGGCTGAATCACATTCCTATCTAGATGAAGTGTTAACAAAAAGCAGCACACAAAAAGCATTCGTTAGAAGAGTCGAATTTCTTTGGGGACAAAATGATGCTCTCCAGGATTTATCCAACTAGAAAGATCATAAAATAAAGACTCTGCAAACATCTCAGAGAAATAATACCACCGTAAAGAATAAAGAGGGAGGATCCTGGACCCCGAAATCCACCACCTTTCTGTACTTTCAGATGTACCAATGTGGCAGGAAACCAGGGCTCATGCTGCCGCTGAGCTAAAGCAGTAGAGGGGATGGCGGCTTCTCTAGGATCTAAAACGTCCTGAAGCAGACCAACACTATGTCCCAATGCACTGGTGTTGGGATGTCTGCCCCCGGTGCCTGTCCGGGTCAATAAAGCAGTCAAGCATCATGTATGTTATGTTGAACATTCTCAACCAGTACAAATGTGGGAACTCCCAGAAAAGACGAAAACAGATCTAAAGAGACACTTAACAACATTGGAAAAATAGACATCAATTTCTTTATATAATTTATAAAGCGTGTATTATTGCCCACGTTAAGGGGCATGTTAATAATTTATTAAATTATTAGCTATTTTAGATTTAATAATAATAATGTGCCGTAAAAATAAATAATTGTTTTATTAAATTAATAATTGTTTTATTATTTTCACAATTACTTTTTTTCTCAAAATAATTGGCAAAATATCGATTCTAAGTTTATTTTATGTCAACTAATATCAGATGGTGGGTGCAAATTTACTCTTTCTCTGGATACAAATTACAAATCCCATGAATATTTTCTACAGTCCAAAATAATAAATTTGTAATCCTTCAGAATGGACAACCTTCTCAAGATAATAAATGAGCTACAGGACGTTTTTGGCACTGTTGGATCTTCTCCTGATTCAATAAAGCTACCCCAAATAGTGGTGGTTGGCTCCCAAAGTGCTGGAAAGAGCTCTGTCCTTGAGGGTATCGTTAGAAAGAACTTTCTGCCAAGAGGAGGTGGCATTGTGACAAGAAGACCTCTTATCATACAGATCACACAGGAAAATATTTCTAACCAATCCTGGGCATGCTTCCTGCACAATCCTGATAAAAAGTATACCGACTTTGATGAAGTAAGAGATGAAATAGTTGCTGAGACTGATAGGCTTTGTGGCAACAGCAAAAATATCCTGCCTGACTCCATAACACTGAAGATCTACTCATCGGATTTGCCAACCCTGACTCTCGTTGACCTTCCAGGGGTAGTCAAAGTTCCAGTTGATGGTCAGCCTGAAAATATTGAAGAACAAACAATCAACCTGGTAAAAAGTTTTGTGCAAAATCCTAACAGCATTATCTTAGCAGTTTCACCTGGTAATGTCGATCTTGCTAATTCTGAAGCACTAAAGATAGCAAGACAAGTTGATCCAGAAAGTCGAAGAACAGTAGCAGTCATCACAAAGGCTGATTTAATGGAAAGGACAACAGAAAATAGGCTGGTGCTGGAGGGAAAGTCTATTCCTGTAAAGCTTGGGATAATAGGAGTCATAAACCGGAGTCAGGCAAAAATAGATCAGGAACAACCAATAGATAAATGCCTAGAAGAGGAGGAGCTCTTCTTTAATTATTATTAAATCTAAAATAGCTAATAATTTAATAAATTATTAACAGGCCCCTTAACGTGGGCAATAATATACGCTTTATAAATTATATAAACAAATTGAAGTCTATTTTTCCAATATTGTTAAGTGTCTCTTTAGATCTGTTTTGGTCTTTCGTGGGAGTTCCCACATTTGTTGGTTGAGAATGCTCAACATAACATACATGATGCTTGACTGCTTTATTGACCCGGACAGGCACCGGGGGCAGACATCCCAACACCAGTGCGTTGGGACATAGTGTTGGTCTGCTTCAGGACGTGTTATAATTGAAGTGTCGAAAGGATATTCCCTTTTTTACCACCTTACCATTCTGATTGACTCTGCACATGACTGACATGTTTTAACTGGAGAAGGGGTTCGCACAGTGGTAGTTTTATAAACCACTTTTAATTTATTGACCTATTATACCTAGTGGTAGTTTTACAGACCACATTTAATTTATTAACTTATTATACTTAGTATTTATTTTTGGTGACTGTATCACCCAGTACAGTTTTAACATTTGATAATTGTACAGTTTATTGACGACACATTGACCGAATGTTATTTTATATTCTAATTTATATACTAGATATTTTATTTATTTTCCAACAGACGACAACTTCCTGTTTTTTTTCCTTCTATATTAGTTACTCATATCTCTTGTACAGACTGTTCTACAAGGACATTGACAGATGATGCTCATATTACTATATTAGGCATTCATTATTGCATCTTAATTATTTCACTTGCATTAGGTTTAGAAATTTATTCTCTGGTTAACAGATTTCAAATGTTTAATTAATTTGTAGTATGACAGTATATAAGAAGTTATTTAATTTTGCTTGGGCTGTTGTGTTGACTGTTGGGGTTTAGTGGTGGTATGGAATTTGAATTTTATATAAATTTACACTATGAGGTTGGGGCATTTTGCATAGTAAATATGGTTACTACTCCTATATATCATATTATTTGATTGGTATTCGATTTCTGATTATTTCCCTAGGAACATGATTATTATATCTCAATTTGGCTTTAGGTAGGGTGCCCCGCTAAAAGAACTGGATTCTTCCAGGAAGCATCCCGTGCACAGAGCTTGGTCTACATATATATTAAATTATTAACCATTCATTCTGTATGTGCACGAAAATTTATTTCAATCAAGATCCTGGTAAAGCCGCCATCCCCTCTACTGCTTTAGCTCAGCGGCAGCATGAGCCCTGGTTTCCTGCCACATTGGTACCTCTGAAAGTACAGAAAAGTGGTGGATTTCGGGGTCCAGGATACTCCCTCTTTGTTCTTTATGGTGGTAATATTTCTCTGAGATGTTTGCAGAGTCTTTATTTCATGATCTTTCTAGTCGGATAAATCCTGGAGAGCATCATTTTGTCCCCAAAGAAATTCGACTCTCCTAATGAATGCTTTTTGTGTGCTGCTTTTTGTTAACACTTCATCTAGATAGGAATGTGAGTCTGCCCCACCCAGCTCTTCTTTCAGTTGCAGGTAACTGGTGTCTTGCACCTCCAGACACAATAGGAGCTGGTGCACGGGAGAATCAATGGATCTGTTACAGAAACGACAGGCCTCACCACTGCCACCACCCATGATCTTTTGGATATTCGCAAAGAGTGGTGAGCTGCCGTGAATGTAGTCCATTATTCGGCTGTCCAGATTTTTACTCGTGTTGTGCCCGAATAAAAAGTTGTTTTTGTCTAGGAGCAGCCCACTGTTTTTGATCTTTGTGATCACACCGAGTATCTTGGTCTCCTTGTTGTTACTGACAGTTCTGCATTGCAGATTTGTTTCGATGCTGTCAATCCAGATCTTATTTTTGTAGCTCATTATGTCTCTTCTTTAAGTCCCACTACCAATACATTTCAGGAGAAATGGGCACACCATACCTTACTAAAAGGCTTTGCAAAATACTGCTAGAAAATGTCAAAGAATGTCTTCCTGAACTAATAATCCGAATAACAGAGCAGAAGGTTCTCCAACAGAACATTTTAGACTCCCTGGGAACAAAGGTTGATGATCCCTTTGAGATGTTAATCCAACTATTATATAAGTGTTGTCAAACCTTTGACAGCAACATAGATGGAAAAGAATCTATCAAATTGTCTAATGGTAAAGAAATTTCTGGGGGAAGACTTTTGTTTCAACAGTTTGAAAGAACGATTGGGACCGATTTAGATAGTTAGGGCAAGAATTGCTGTTTATGGGTCAATCTGTGAACAAATTCGTAACAAAGGTTTGTGTACAGGAATGTGTTGTCCATGGTCCCAGGAACCACAAAAAAAAAACCGTCCAGCTGAAACTTTTGGGCAAAAATTTTTATAGTCATTTTTCTCCAGGAACCCATACGCCCCACCCCTAATATTGGTTATTCGGCTCCCGAAGGTCTTGAGATCTCCATAGGGGGTGCAAAATGACCGCAATGGCCACATTATGGCAGGCGAATGATAGTTTCAGAACGATTGGAGCTTTATTTTTCGAAATAAATGGAATTTTTCGAATTTTTTCTCAATTTTATTGAAATTTCGAAAAAAATACACCAAATTATTTTTAACGCTTATTTCAAATCTATTTAAAAACTTATCTACAAATAACAAATACAGTTAATCTAAAATGTGTATTCTCAGTAAGTACCATGACAAATATTAATACACAGTTAATATTAATCAAAATTCGCTTGTTCTTCAGGTTCATCATGTCTAATGTTTGTGCAGTTCATACCATGGCATCGTCCACAAGCTGGCAAACAATTGAAGCCATATTTCCTACATGAACATCTGAAAGTCAAACAGGCCTGTTCCACATCGACAGAACAGTTACAACATATAAGGTTCAAAATAGACTCTGGTGCAACTGGTTCGTAAGTGCCACCAGGAGCCAATTTCCAGCCGTAGTCAAGGGGATTCAGACTGTCAGCGTTAAGCATGACTCAGTTTTGGTACTGTAAGTAAGCTCTAAGGATGTGCTCCGTTGCTGAAGCTATTGTTGGAGGTAGCCTATTCGGATTGAGACTCTTTTTCGCTACCATCCTATTGTATGCTAGGAATCTCAAAGCAGAAAGAGTCTTTTTCTTGTCACCATAAATGTACTGCAAGAAACAGAGGCCTGCCTCAATAATCTTTTCTTTTGATTCTCTCACCGAAAGTAATGTTGCCAACTGACCTTGCTCATCAAAGGTGAGAGCTTTCTTTAGCACTTTAACCTTGCTAAAACCAAACAGTCCACTGACGCTATCACAACCTGAAATACTATGAATTAGAAGAAGTATCTCCTTTTCTTTATGATCTAGATGACTTGATATTTCTTTGATTGAATATTTACCCTTCTTCGTTGTTAGATAAATATCATTGTGATGGTCACTGTTGAAATGATGTACTAATAGACTTGAACTATATCGGTATCCTCTGCCTTCAATTCAACATCGCCAAGGAATGACATTTCCAATGTTTTCTTTGCAATTAAAGTATCAGCATCGTTACAAGCTCTGATCACTTCAATACCATTTACAGTAAAAATGCTTAAGATAAGGTCGATCAGTTCTTTTTTGTTATTGTTGTTACTCAGAAATGTTGTTTTGGTGACAGTACAAAAGGTGGATTTCTTTACAGCAATATTAGCACAGAACGCTTTTACTCTCCTCTTGTGCTCGTGATCTTTAGTAGAAGGCTCATATCCATCAAAAATCACAGTAACTTCCCGATTTTTAGGGATAAGCTTCAAGTACTCCATTGCTACCTCACCATAATTGTCCCACCCTTTAAATGAGCTTAGTTGGTGAATTAGCCAACCTCCATCAATGACTAGTGGGATCGTGAAGCTGCAAGATTTAAGTGTAGATTGGTTTATACCAAGAGCAGCCTTATTAGATTTCCTCATCATCTGATATTGATCAAATAAGCTCATCGGCACCACAGTTAACTCGTATGTTAGGCATTCCTCTATTGAAGTCTCTCTATCAGCAACCAAGACTAGACGGTTAAAACACTTCAACGGATCGACTGCAACGCTTTTATTATTCACTTTAACCTGCTTTCTTAGTTGTGTCAAGTTCTTTGCTTTACCTTTGATACTTATCTTATTGATGAATGTCAGCCCATCTAGCTCACGTTGAAGGACAGCCCCAACGGCCAAACATTCCTCGGGATTCACCTCATCGTTCCCAGGCTGTGATATAAGACCAGTCGAAAAAGATATTAACTTAGTCTTATCTTCGGATTCTGTAAAGTCGACAGTAACTTTAAACCAAGTTAATAATTTTCCAAATACATCACAGTTTTTCTTGATTGATGACTTGGTAAGATCTGAGTGGATGGCAGATTTAGTTGGTATTCCTCGCTTCGATGAATTAGCTAATGAATCTCCAAAAGACTGATTTATTAAAGCCATCTGATTCAGGGTGGCCACCCATAACTTGTGAGCGGACTCACGATTACGCATCCTTCCACTTGTTAATCCACCACTAGATTTAGCTGCCCTCATAAGACTCTGCTCTATGGAGAGGTCAGTCCACACTCCGGCCCACTCGTGGTCGTTGTAACAAACCGTGTGAAGCCCAGTTACTTTAAAGGTCTTTTAAAGCGCCCCATACTTGACTTTGAAAATAGCATCCTGCTCCAAATACAGTCTTAAAGCTTTTGCATACTGTCCCCTCCCAGCTGCTGCGAAGTAGGGCAGCATCAAAGCTACTGCTGATAAATGCATATTGTAGTCGTGCAACCTCTCTGCTCTTATGAAGTCCTTTACTAGTGTTATCATGTTGTGGTAAGTAACCCATAGAGCTGCTGTTCTACTGTTTGAAAACAGGTTCTTTAGAAGCAGAGTTATTTTCTCTGATAGATCCTGAATAGATTTAGTCTTAAAGTTAACACCTATATTTTCGTTCACACATTTGTTGATGTAACCTTCCAAGTCTACTAGTTCATCGTCGTAAACTTCTTCCTCTATAATGAAACAACAAAGAGCGGCGTCGATCAGAAAGTGGGCTCTCAACGCTTTATAGTAAGATCCTCCATCCGATATATGCGTGACGTCTCCAGGATACACGAGTTTGATGAGCTCCTCTAAACCCGAGTCTGCCATTATATAGCCTATGCAGCCAAGAAAACTCGTGAGAGTGTGGAAGCCCCCAACCCTGACCACAATAGGCATCCCAGTTTCCAGTACTATTCGGGTGGCCTTAATCCACAATGGCAAATCGAATGTGATTATCATCGGCTCACTGTAGGATAACTTAAGACATTCAACCAGAGTAGCATGTACCGTCGAATAGCTGTCTGGGGGTTGGTCAATAATCTATTGTTTGTTAGTTAACCTTGATATTTGTTAATTGAAGTTATTTCCCGAGTAAGATTTGAAATAAGCGTTAAAAATAATTTGGTGTATTTTTTTCGAAATTTCAATAAAATTGAGAAAAATTTCGAAAAATTCCATTTATTTCGAAAAATAAAGCCCCAATTGTTCTGAAACTATCATTCGCCTGCCATAATGTGGCCATTGCGGTCATTTTGCACCCCCTATGAGGATCTCAAGACCTTCGGGAGCCGAATAACCAATATTAGGGGTGGGGCGTATGGGTTCCTGGAGAAAAATGACTATAAAAATTTTTGCCCAAAAGTTTCAGCTGGACGGTTTTTTTTGTGGTTCCTGGGACTATGGACAACACATTCCAGTAGACAAACCTTTGTTACGAATTTGTTCACAGAAAAATCAACTCTTGCCCTAACTAAGAACACCTCATTCTCCCTGAGGATATCGAGCAGCAAATTGAGCAAGAAATCATGAGTTCATCAGGAGCAAAACCCGCGCTATTCACCCCAAATATTGCTTTTGAGAATCTGGCATCAAATCAGGTTCAAATTTATGTGAAACCTGTACTGTCAAGAAATCTAGCAAGAAATGCTGTTAGAACAGGTTTTCAAGCGCTTTCCCAACTTAAAAAGGGAGGCTCATCACATTTGCCTTTCTCCAGCAGCTTTCTTTCCTCTCTTCCCCCGTCGTCTGGAGTGTGTGATTTTTGTCGATGTCCGAGCTCTTATATTTATCATTAGTTTATGGTTAACTTTCTGTGATTGGACTCGGTATTTTCGTCCCAGTCGAGTGGGACGATGCTTGCTCGCCAGTTAAGCTTACTGCAGTAGATAACACTAATTTCTACAAACTGTAGAATATTAAATATAAAATGTGTCCAGTATGGCGCAAGCCGCAAATGCATAATTTGATTATTTTTCGACGCTGTCGTCGGGGTGAGAGTTATCCGAAATAACTGCATGCCCCTACGATTGCGTCACCACTGGTGAGCAAGCATTTGTTTGTTGTTTAGTTGTGTTGAAAGGGAACATTACTTGATTAATTCATCCATTCGGATTTTAATAACGATGAGCTATGATATATATTATACCGTTCATCTAAGATTATTGGATCAATTTTATTATATTATAAGATTTTATAAACGAACTTGGCACACAAAAGATTATAATGCGGAGGTTGGCTGGCTCTTTTATAATAAATACGACACTCCAATTTACAGAATGCTTGTTATAGAATAAAACAAATAAATATTATCAGACTATACATGCAGCATGAGTAACTAGGCCTCCCCCAGCCTCGGATCTTAGGATTGGATTTGCAAAAATTCCTAAGACAAACTGCTTAAGAAAAGCTAAGACTGCAAAAAAAGCTGAGACAAAATTTAAGCGAACCTGAGATGTCAAAATAAGCTAAGACAGCGAAAAATCTTAAGACAAAATTTAAGGAAACCTAAGACAGCAGAAAATCCTGAGACAAAATTTAAGGAAACCCAACACAGCGAAAAATCCTAAGACAAAATTTAAGAAATCCTGAGACAGCGAAAAATCCTGAGACAAAATTTAAGAAATCCCGAGACAGCGAAAAAACCTAAGACAAAATTTAAGAATCCTGAGACGCGCGAAAAAACCTGAGACAAAATTTAAGAAATCCCGAGACAGCGAAAAATCCTGAGACAAAATTTAAGAAAACCTGAGACAGCGAAAAATCCTGAGACAAAATTTAAGAAAACCTGAGACAGCGAAAAATCTTTAGATACAATTTATACAATAACCACAAGAATATGCATGGATATTACATCTTTTAATTTCTTGCAAAGAATATAATAAATACAATATTACTAGGTATAGTAGGAATGTCAATAAGTCAATAGAATTTGTTTGAAATCTCTATGTGCCTGCTAATGAAGTGAGTATCCCAGATCATATCTTTACAGGTAGGACTGTATAATGGGGGCCCGATGTTATAGCGGACATCATCCCCCCCCCCCCCCCTTACCCCTTCTTACCCCCAGTTCCATAGCGGATATTATGCCAAATTATTGGACGGAGATCGTCAACTAATATTTCTTCGGATATTTCTCCGGTTTGCAGTTCCATAACCTTATCCGGAAACCATCTACGGTAATTTTGGTGATTCTCACTGAGCAAAGTGCAAAGAAACTGCCACAAACTGCTACAATCTCCGAGAAATCTATTTATTGACTAGCTTGCTAAAATTCATCGTCAAATTACCGCTGCTCGAGTTACCTAGCCAGGCCCATTTCAGTTTTGAGTATTGGAGTCGGTTATCTAGTCAAAGCCTAGCTTTTTTGTAACTTGCAAGTGCTTTTGCGGATTGTCGTGGATTTCGGCAAATAGTCGTGGATTTCGGCGATATTTTCAGATTATTCTTCAATGTCCTCAAACCTGAGCACTGGGACTACTTAAGTTTTTGCTACTATCTGAATTATTTGCTCAAGCTACTGGCTCGCTAGGTTCAAAGGTTTATTTCCTATTTATCATGAAAAAATAATTGTGCTGGGTAAAAGTTTACACGGTGTTAACGCAGGTTTGAACTCCCGACCTCGCGCAGAGCTGGCCGATCGCCTAGCCGCTAAGCTACTCCGGTGATGTACTCATGAAATTTTTGATGTAAATATATATTTACCCCTTTTTACCCCCAGTTCCATAGCGGATATTATGCCAAATTATTGGACGGAGATCGTCAACTAATATTTCTTCGGATATTTCTCCGGTTTGCAGTTCCATAACCTTATCCGGAGACCATCTACGGTAATTTTGTTGATTCTCACAGAGCAAAGTGCAAAGAAATTGCCACAAACTGCTACAATCTCCGAGAAATTCCCGGAGAGCTTCATCTCCGTATAATACAGTAGACGGAGCCGGAGAATCATCACCGTAGAAATGGACCTCCGTCTAATAATTTGGCATAATATCCGCTATGGAACTGGGGGGTTAATCTATATCTGATTAAAAGCTACAAAAAAATTCCAGAAATGAGATGGCTGGTTAACACCTACCTTTGGAAAGCTCTGATGAACCTGCCCGTGGAGAAATAAACACACTTAACTTCACCTCAATTGAGCAATAACTATAATTATCGCTTATTACTTCATTTATTTTGGATGTACAGTGTGCTTCTCTCACAAAAAAAGCATCAGCTGCTGCACGCTCCACCTACGACCACTCATTCGCAGTGAGAGCTGGAAGACTCTGGAATGTTCTCCCCAAAATTGTCAATACTCAAAGGACTTTGACAAGCTTCAAGACATCTCTTGGAAACTTCCTAGACACCCTTCCAGACAAGCCCCCTACTCCTGGATACAGTGCAGAAAACTCTAACTCGATAATAGACTGGTGCAGTCAAGGAGGTGGTCCGCAGATTGCGTGATGGCCGTGAAGATGCCTACTTCTAAACCTATCAATAGGTTCAATAGGTAGGTGCTTCGTAACTAATTTATCATTACAAAGTTTACTTTCTAATAAGCTAAAACGACAACTAATCTTTCGTTTTACTCCCTACTTTACTGGTTTACTCGTCAATCCAGGTATATGAGAATGTGTGAGAATGGTCTTGAAACTCTGAAAAGAGGGAAGCAGTTTTGGGGACGGGGAGATTGAAGCGGGTGGGCGACAAATGAAGCCCCCCCCCCCCCATTGTAAGCCCCCCGGCTTACAATTGACCCCCCATGCAATTACACTGAGTCAATTGATCTCAGTATAATAACATGGGGGTTAATTGTCGTACTAAGCCCTAGATTGTATCTGCTAATGAGGTGAATATCCCAGATCATAGCTTCACAGCACAGTGGGCCACCATGCTGTAATTGACGAAAAATTGAGTTCTTTTAAAAGGAATTAAGTAAGTTTTGTATTGCAGTAAAAAATCTTGGCTATTAGATGCAAAAAACCATAGTTGAATTAATTAAATGGCTTTCGCGCAGCGCATCGGCGAATTTACGAAATTTTTTGACTGCCAATTTTTTCACTTTTGGCAGTCAAAATTGGCATAACCCATCATTATATTTCTAAAATTGGCTTAAAACACCGTATATTGACTCCTAATCAAGGTGAAAGTACTCTCTTTGCTTCAATTCATGCAAAAAAACCATGTAATCATATCATTTAAGCTGAATTTTTGGCACGCACTCAATTTTAGGCCTCATTTTTGACTAATTTTTGCTTAAATTTGGCCAAAAAAAGTTTATTTGCCTCAGGTTGCCCCACTAATGCATGGTACCATCTGAAAGCTCAGACGATTCTCTAAACAATGGTAGAAGAACTGCTCTGGGGTTTTTTGGGGCTTTTTCAGAAAAAAATTCCAAAGTTGAAAAAAGGCCCAAATTTGATGGAATTTAGACTTACCTTGCAGATTTGAAAAAAATTATTTTTTCTCAAACAAACCCCATTTTGAACATCTTTCTCACATGGCTCTCAATGTCGTGGCCTGGTGCCATGAGGTTATGGGGTACTAAAAAGTGGTCTGTTTTGGAAATATCATCAAAAAATGCTATTTTTCTGGAATTTTACTGGTATTTTCTGACAATTTCAGAAATTTCTGGCATTCGCGCCCAATTTTCTGGTTTCAATTTGACATAACTTTGGCTACGATCAATATTTTTTCATAATTCAAAAACTAAAATGATCAATAGCCCCAGGACTATCAATTTAAAAACATTCTAAACACATTCAACGATTATCTTTAGCAAAAACTCGAATTGGATGCCTCTAGACCTACATTTCAGCCATGAAAAATTTCTATGGAATGAGCCAAAAAAATTTTCTGTGACTTATAAAGGACCAAAATTTGTTTAAAAATCAATATTCAACTGATTTGAAGTAAAAAATAATGTTTGAAATGATCTAAATTGATCACTGATGGTCTATTACAGTATGACCCCCTATTCTGGCCCACTGTGCACAGGTAGGACTGTATAATGGGGGCCCTGATGTTATAGTGGACATCACTTTCCCCTCCCTTATCTGATTAAAGGATACAAAACAGTCAAGAAATGAGATTGGTTAAAACCTACCTTGGGAAAGCTCCGATGGACTAGCCCGTGGAGAAATAA